GTCAAAGCAGTTTGTACTTTGCTAGAATTAGTACAAAAGTAGGGTTTTGCAGGGTGAGAACTGACAAGTCTTAGTCTTATACAAAGAAAAGTAGATTAGTTACTTAATGGGGTTATGTGGCATTTAATTGTCTTATTTTAGTTTTTCTGGTTTTTGACAGGTGGGATTCTTACCTGAAACATTATTTTTCTGATATTTGTGTTGATAGGTGAGAGTACCCTTTTCGTTATTTCGCCCTGTGAATCCAGCTGATCCACCATTGGATCCTTTTCTTGTGCACACTTTCACCATTCGTTTTGAACCCAGAAGACAGGTTTCTTTCCTTTTTTACTTAATTTAGATTTTGGACATAATAATGACTTAATGTATTAAGACAAACTCTTTAATATGAATTGTGATGGATGAGTTATTTTTACATTGACAGAGACCTTCAGAAGCAGCTGTTGGAGGGAGCCAGGACTTGAGAAGCTTTCAAATGATATTGGAATATATAAAAGCATTGCCAGTAAGTATTTATTATTATTTTTTTTTTTTTCTAGAGTTTTTTAATGCTAAATTACTAATTTACCCTTATGCAGACCGGACAAGAAACGGACTTCATATTGGTCTCGTGTACGGGTTCAGGAATTGAAAGTAGCAGAAGGGAGAGTGTTTTAAGAGCCAAGAAGGTCAGGAAACCAGTTGATGCCTATGTGGCGCTGACATGGAATTTATGTTTAATTTTAATATTTTTAAAGTTTAGACTATTATATATATATATATATATATATATATATATATATATATATATATATATATATTTTATAGGCAGGAGAGGATTCCCTAAGAAGATCAGGCCTTGGATACACAATAATTCGCCCTGGTCCATTAATGGTGAGTTTATAAATTATGATTACAAAAACATAAAAATAAAAAAATAAAAAATAAAAAAATAGTTTTATTAATTTCAGGAAGAACCTGGGGGACAACGAGCTTTGATTTTTGATCAAGGAAACAGGATATCACAGGTGGGGAATAGGGATAGTGATATAAAAATATAAAAATAAAAAATTAATTTTTTTTTTAATTAATGACATGAAGGTTGCTAATTACTTGTAGGGGATCAGCTGTGCTGACGTGGCGGATATATGTGTAAAGGCATTGCATGACTCAACTGCTAGGAACAAGAGTTTTGATGTGGGTAACATATATTATTATTATTATTTAATTTAATCCAAAATGACTTAATTTGTTGGAAATCAACAGGTATGCTATGAATATGTTGCTGAGCCAGGAAAGGAGTTGTATGAACTGGTATTATAAATATATAGTTTACATTTAACTTGGAAGTATTAAATGCTGTACATCATAATTGAGAAGGTTTTTCAAAATATAATGTCTTAATAAGGAAAAAGAAATGTAAGTAGAATGTTATAATTGGGTAGATTTTTTTTTTCTTTTTCTTATATTTGCTTTCCTTTTGTAGGTGGCTCATTTGCCAGACAAAGCGAATAACTACTTAACACCAGCATTATCAGCTTTGGAAAAGAATACATAAAATCATCTGGATCTGGTAGAGTGTTATTTTGTTGGGAGATTTGATTACATACAAAAGGGCTAAATATGGGGGTAATTCTGTAAAGAAAATGGTTTTTGTTTCTATATTTTTCTTCCACAACTTTTATGTATAATGCAAATGTATAAAGATAATAAGTTTTCTTTTCTTGTTTTACTTTCCAAGTTAAGTGTTTATTAAAGTTTGTTATATTGAAATAGCACAACTTTCATGTTTATAGCTTAATAATAACTTTTTGACAATAAAATTAAAAAAACCACCAACAAGATATTAATAACTTTTTCATATAACTTGCAATTACAAAGTGTCATAAAATACAACGTAATAATAATCGCTAATTGTCTCCCGTATGAGAGGGATCCCAACCATATAAACCTATTCTCGTTGTGTTGAGACCTTTTGTCAACGTTATTCTCTGGAAGAGTAATGGTACAAACATCATATGCAAAACTCGTCTTTTGTTTAAATTTCTAACATACAACTTTCCTCGTATGTCGAAGACTCTCCTCTCTCGCATCACTCCCCGACACAGTCGCAATTCAAAATCACCCTCCAACATTCCATCTCATATAAAAAAAATCGTTAACCAAATCTGTGACATTCTCACAACCCGAAACACCCACTGGGAAGAAACACTCGAAACCCGACTCTCGGAAGAAGACATCGTTCCATCGGATGTTGCTCACCAAGTGTTTGACAAAATTCGAGACGTTGAATCGGGGTTGAAGTTCTTTGATTGGATTTTACACCGGCCTTATGGCTGTCCTCTTAATGGGATTGCTTATTCTTCTCTTTTAAAGCTCTTAGCCAAGTCAAAAGCTTTTCGTGAGATTGATTCGGTGTTCATTCGTATGAAAACCGAAAAAGAATTGCCCACCCTTGACGCTTTAAATTATATAATTCGAGTCTATTCGGAATGTGGGTTGATCGATAAAGCTCTTGAATTCTATACATATGTAATTGAGACATACAACTGTCTTCCAAATGTTTTCGCTTGTAATTCTTTGTTATCTGGGCTTGTGAAAAGTGGTCGCCTGGAAACTGCACACCAAGTGTATGACGAAATGCTTCAAAGAAACGACGAGACTGGAACTTCTTGTTGTGCTGATAACTTTAGTACTTCTATAATGGTAAACGCGCTTTGTAAGAAAGGAAAGGTAGAGGAAGCCAAAAAGCTAATTCTTGATAGGTGGGGGCAAGGTTGCATACCCAATGTTGTCTTCTACAATACACTCATCGATGGATATTGCAAGAAAGGTGATGCTAAAAAAGCATTTTTGTTATTCAAAGAGCTCAAATTAAAGGGCTTTTTGCCTAGCGTACAGACATATGGAGCAGTGATAAATGGTCTTTGCAAGGAAGGAAATTTCAGTATTGTTGAAAGACTTATAAACGAAATGAAGTCAAGAGGTTTGATTATTAATGTTCAAGTTTATAACACCATTATCGATGCTCAATGTCGCCATGGCTACAAGACAAAAGCAGTAGAAATGTTGAGAAAAATGATTGAAATTGGTTGTTCACCAGATATTATAACATATAATATTTTAATACATGATTCTTGTAGACATGGGAAAGTTAAAGAAGCTGAGCAACTTATCGAACAGGCTTCAAGAATAGGATTGATCCCCAATCGGTTAACTTATACACCACTTTTGAACACATATTGCAAACAAAATGATGTAAACAAGGCATTGGATTTGCTTTTAAAGATGATTGATAATGGCGAAAAACCAGACCTACTAACATATGCTTCTCTCATCCATGGAATTGTTGTTTTAGGAGAAGTTGATACTGCATTGGTAATCTTGGACAAGATGAAAGAAAGAGGAGTGTCCCCTGATGCAGGGGTATATAATGTAATTTTGAGTGGACTTTGTAAAAAAGGAAAACTTCCTGCTGCCAAGAACCTTCTTTCCAACATGCTTGATCACAATATTCGACCTGATAAATTCGTGTATGCAACTTTGATAGATGGATTTGTCAGAAATGAACAGTTTGATGAGGCCAAAAAGATATTCGAGCATACGATTCAAAAAAACTTGAATCTTGATGTTGTTGGGTATAATGCAATGATTAAGGGGTATTGTAAAGATGGAAAGTTAAAAGATGCGATTTTATTCGTCAAAAAGATGATCAAAACACGTGTTTTTCCTGATGAGTTTACTTATTCTACAATAATCGATGGGTATGTAAAACAACATGATATGGAGGGCGCTTTAGGGATATTTAGTCGTATGGTGAAAGAGAACTGTAAGCCGAACGTGGTTACATATACTTCTTTGATTAACGGATTTTGTCAAAAGGGCGATTTTGTCAATGCTGAAATATTACTCGAAGAAATGAAACTTTGTGGCTTGATCCCTAATGTTGTTACTTATAGTATACTAATCGGAAGCTATTGCAAAAATGGAAAGTTAGAAAAGGCGGCTTTGGTTTTTGAACAAATGTTAATGAACAAGTGTGAACCGAATGATGTTACCTTTCGTTATTTGGTTCATGGGTTCTCAAAGTATGTTGCTAAGAATGGTAATGAGTTTGATGAAGGTAAGAAGAAGTCTATGCTTCTTGATTTTAATAATAGGATGATATTGGATGGTTTTTCGCGAAGAGTGGCTACATATACTACCATTGTTGTATGCCTTTGTCTTCATGGAATGATGAGTGTTTCTTTGAAGTTGAGTGATAAAATTGAGATTAGGGATTGCCCTATTGTTTTTGGTGCTTTGATATATGGTATTTGTTGGGAAGGGAAGGGAAAAGAATGGAAGACTCTTGTTTCTTGCAACTTGAATGAGTCGGAGCTCGGTATTGCTGTAAAGTATTCGTTGGTTTTCGATCATTATGTCCCGAAAGGAGTGGGCTTTGAAGGTTCGTTGATTTTGCGGATGTTGCTTGATGATTTCAAGTCCAAAGATCACAAAGACTAGGACAATTGGTTCTAGATTGATACATTTGCAGAGAAACTGAGAGTTTGAATCTCAACAAACGTTGTCTACCTGATTTACATCTCGCATGATGCTTGTAAGGCAGGATATGTGGAACAGTTTAGGGGTTGTTGGAAAAACAACTCTTTTTGCAGAAAAACATGGGCACCTAAAGTTTTGGTTAGTTAGGGATAGGGAAATCCATGTGCCCACTAATATCGTCTCCAATCCATAACATCATTTTTTATACAAAAAAGAAATTCAAATATATTCCATTTTTCTAACTTATATAGTTTTCAAAAATACCTTTTATGTTTATTAGTTTTCTACAAATTTGTCTTTCATCTTTTTCTTACACCAACTTTACAAATTATATTATTAAGCAAAAGTTAGTGTTATAATATTTTTTTACACCATTTTGGTGCAACAAATTGTGTTTGATTGGAATAAAATGGTATAAAACTATTGTAAAAATGGTACACTTTCAATGAAATGCTAAAGTTTGTGGAAAAAAAAAACCATAAAGTGCTACTAGAAATTGAAAAAAAATACAAGAGAAAGTTACAAATAGAGGTATAAAAATCAAACAAAAACATCATAACTTGAAGTCACAAAAACAATCAGGCAAAGCAGAGCCTTTCCCCATAACAAAATCATCTTCCTGAGCCTTTCTCATAGCTTCCATCAATTCTTTCCCTTTTAGCCCCTTTGAAGTATACTCGGCAAACGCCTTCCTATTCAAAAAAACCGTTTTATACAAACCCTTATAAGCTCTCATAGCAGCCACCATTTTATCCATATTACCAAAATAAGTAGCCACATAAGCATCACTATTAATCGACACATAATAATCAAGAGCAGCTTTCGTATTCCCATGCATGTCTTTCAACTCTTCCCCACTCAAAACAGACAATTTTGTAATCACATTCGTGTAAACAGAAGTCAACCCTTCAAGCTCCATAACTCCATCTCCAGCTGCTAAATAAATGTTTGTGTTTGTTGGGATTGAAAGAGATTGGAGAATCAAAGCCGTTTCTTTTGGAGTGAGTGGACATTTTCCTCGGTTTCTCCAAATACTCGCGGTGTCTCCGGTGAATGGTTTCCGATCACCACCGCCACGTGCCGCCTCGATTGCCGCCATGGACGCCGGAGAAAGACCGTTGTATTCGCATTGACTGTATGCTACCATATCGGGTTCAAAACGAAGGTGAAGAGAGAGAAAGGGTTTCGGTATAGCTTCTAGAAGCTCTGAGCTTTTGGTCTCCAAGGAGTTCGTTAGGCGCAATGCACTGTAACACCCTTGACAAAGGGCGGCCTTTGCGTAGACTGGAAACCTGCAAGATTTCAGGACAGGACATGACATGACAGAACAGACTGTATTTGATGTGACTGATGTCATGATGTCAGTACAAACACTGCAACTTTTTATCCCACCCTAAAAGGTGGAACTAGGTAGGGTAGGGAGTCAACTCACTTACACAATCACACTCAATCTTATATTTGGCAAAATGACATTAATGCCCTCCTCCATATTTTAAAATAACCCTAGTAAATAGTTTGAGTTGAGTACCTATCACGGCGTTGGCTCATTGCAGGTGTGATGGAGATGTAATGATGCTTCAATAGAGAGGGGAGAACAGACTCGATATAATCAAATTGGCCTTTGCGTTTGCTGCAATCCACTCGAATAGGTTCTTTTGATGCAATTTCTGCAGGAAGTTCTTTCACGACTTTTATAAATCCTTTTAGTTGTTGGATGAAGTAGTCCACATCGAACACATCTGTGAAACCACTGAAGAGGAAACACACAGGAATTTCAATGAAGTTGGTGTTTTGGTTTGGTTGAGTTTTTAACAAGATGAAGTAACGAGTAAGTACCTTGATTCATTCCAATATGCAGCCACTTCGAATTTTGGTAAAACAAGAGTTGCATTCAGTAATCTTGCAATGCCAATACCATCACATAACTGAAAACAATAAACAGCAGTGTGTTGATACTTGATAAAACTTTCTTCAAAAGTAATGATCAGAAGATTAGCCAAAATGAAAATGTAAATGTTTGAATTGTACTTACATCTCTCCTCATCTGATTAAGCCCGCCATAACAATCCACACGAATGTAACCATTAGTCTCTACCGGCAGAGCTGCAGTATTTCACTGTAGTTCAATCTATTCTAAGCCTTTGAATGATGAAGAGATTGAAATGAGAATGAGAATCGACAAAACAAGGAAACAAACTAACCAGTCAAATGCCCTTGAAGCCACCATTTACAAGGTCGCCATTCTAAAATCCTTTTAGCACTCCATATATCGGATTCGCCACTGCAAATTGAGTATTCGGATAGATCCGAAATCAGTTAAAGCAATTTACCAGAAACTGAAAGCAATACGAAGGAGGATCTGTGGACTTACATGGCGGAATAGAGAGGGATCTGGGAAAAAGGTGAAGATGGAGACAGAGAGATCACCGCGAACAATAGGATGATTGTGAAGAAAATGAGAGTGACGAGAGGTTTCTTCGCGAAAAGTGTTAACATCTGATAAGTATACGGATCAAATTCTTGCAGCCACAATAGGATTCGAGGTTTCAATGGCGAAAACGGTGTTGAAACAAGAAAGAGGAAAGGATCTGGATTCTGTGCAAGGTATCATATGGGAGTTTGGCGATTGTGCGCTGCAGGATCTCAAATCTGGGGGGCGTATGTAATTGGATAGGGTAAATTACACGGATCATCCTATGGTTTAGGGTAATTTGCGCGTTTGTTCCCTAATAAGTTTTTTTCACTCGGACGATCCTTATGGTTTGTTTTTGTTGCGCGTCTAGTCCCTGGTCGATGTAGAATGACAATTATACCCTTCTGATATTATTTTTGCTTTTCTTTTTATTATTATTTATTTTTATGATAAAAGATAATACAAATGGGACTCACCCTACCCCTTATCTCTTCCAACTATTATTTTCTTAAACATCATCTTCTCCACCAACACCTAAACCACCGTGCACCACCCTTCTCCACCTTATACCTCCACCATTCCTACTGAGAACCCACCATTTTTATCACCCAAAAACACCATCATCTTTACCCTTCTTTCACTCAATAACCACCTCCGTCAGCCACCCTCTACTACCACTAACCACCCAATACAATCCTTCTCCATCTCTATTCCCACCTCCTTAATCAGCCTTCATCCACCTTAACATCACCTCTGTTTAATGATTTTAGCCAAAACAGAACCTACTCTACAGCCATCATCGAAGACCCCACAACACATTCCTTTCCACCATCTTTCACCCTATAACCATCATCGACCCTTTCATCATGATCCCCTATTTTCATGTTATTGTTGACTTGGAGTTTCGATTGAGAACAAATAAGAAGAAAGGGGAAGGAGACCTGTTATCGATTCAAGAAGAGACAAAGGTGTCTATCGATTGTGAGAAAAAAAGAGGGAAAACAAGACCAAATCAAAACCCACCTGCTATCGATTCTGGTACCACCTCCACCTACTATTCGTTCCACCACCGTATTCATCTCATCCCACTAGTAACACCTTTTAAATCAGACTCAGATGCAAATAATGAAAATCAAACCTCTACAAACCTAATGCAAGTCAATCGACATCTAAAACCATCTTCTATGCTAGAAATCTTCTGATGAAATCTTTTTTTTAGTCTGGATTGAATTCAAATGTTGGGGCTGAAATTGTTTCTTGTGTTTGCAAATCTTAAATCGATCTCAAAACCTAAATCCATCTTCCACTGCAATATGGATTTGTATTAGTACCCTTCGCATTCTTTTGCCTCTCTCTATTTTAGCTTTGAAGAACCCACCTTTATCAAACCGAAGATGCCTCTTTCTCCTTCCTCACTTCTATCGTAGGCAGGCTTCCATCACTACAACCCGCCTGTCAACTTTGATGCAAACCTAGACGAGGATTACTGGCCATCGTTTACCCCATTAACGTCAAGGAAATCGATGGGGGAAATGTGTGTTTAGAATGGTTGAGAAAATTGATGGATGATTTGTGTGTTTTAGGCGTTGGGTGGACGTATTAGAAGGAGGGGATGTGTGGGGAGGCGGTCAACGATTTCCCGGTGGGGTAAGAGGATAACGAAGAAAGAGATAAGGGTAGTGGTGGGCCCAACTTTGTATTATCTTTTATAAAAAAAATGAAAAATAACAAAAAGTAAAATAAAAATAAAATCAAAAGGGTATAATTGTCTTTCTAAGTTGACCAGGGACTAAGCGCGCAACAAAAAGAAAACAATAGGGATGATCTGAGTTCAAAAAAGTTGTTAGGGACCAAATGTGCAAATTATCCTAACCACAGGGACGATCCGTGTAATTTACCCAATTGGATATGAATTGTGAAATTGGACGGTTAGATAATAAATAAGGTAAATAAAAATAAGTAGTTTTAGCCTACTCAGAAAATATGATTGTAAAAAATATGTATATTAAGAAATTAGAGTAAAAACCATGTTGTTTCATTATAGATCTAACTAAATGTATTGAGTGATAAAAAATAATCGTTTTACCATGTTGCTTGATGGTACTTTTGATAAGACATTTGATTTCAAACCAAACACATTCAGAAAATACAATATCAACAACCAAAGTCCAACATATATAATATATACTTATCTATAATATATATACCTAAAGAGAGCTTCACCAACACTCATAATATTAATAATTATCTATATTATGTGTATAACAAAAAAGAGAAATAGAATTTTAAGTACAACAAAAGGAATAAAAGTCCATATGGTGGATTGGTTTCATTGAGCAATCAATCAAACAAATATGCATTTCAACAAAAAAATACATTTGGATGATTAAAAATCAAATAAATCCATATGCATCGGGGGTCAAAAGCAATAGTTCTACATACCTTTAGTAATGATAACACAATAGATGAAGACCCTAGTAGGGAAAAAATCCAAAAAGAAGAATAAATCAATTAAATGTGAACATGTACGTGCATATTGCAATCGAATGAAGGTTAGTAGCCAACAATCTGAGATGAATTGAAAGAGTAATTTGCAAAACAAGAGTTCTAAATACATGTTGATGAAAATAAATCAATAAATAAAAATCCCAGCAGGAAAAAAACGTTGAAAAAAGAAGTCAATTGAATGTGAGTCAACGGAAAGAAAAATGTTGAAAGAAGAAGAAGTCAATTGAATGCAATAGACTGAACTCTAGAAAAACCGGAAGCAGAACAAAGTACATGATGAGAAGAATAGAAGGTGTCGAAACGAGAGAATAAACGAGATGGAGGCGATGAAAGTGTAACATCCCAAAAATTTCATTTTTGATATAGCGATTCATAAAACAAATTATAGAAAACATCATCAAGTTATTTCATTTCATAAAAACCCCATAACTCATAAGTCTCAAAAGCATGTCACAATATAGTAACAACGTCAGAGTACAAATCTCAAGAACCTCATAATACAGAAATCATGTGTGTGTGATGCGTTGCTACCGTGTCGGCTCCTTTCCCTTCGAATAAGAGGGACCTGAAACAAAAACTAAAAACCGTAAGCACAAAGCTTATTGAGTTCCCCCATCATACCACATATCATATAACAAACATACTATCAGGCAATTCTAGGGTGCCCGACCTACCCTATCAGGCAATTCTGGGGTGTCCGACCTACCCTGCCAGGAAATTCTGGGGTGCCCGACCTACCCTCCGGTTTATCTCAACCGGCTACGGGGACTATTTCACCCCTACCACTACCACATAATAACATAGCATAAATATACTGTCAGACATATCTAGGTGCCCGACCTACCCTTCGGTCCTTACGACCCTAACACGGGGACTATTCCCCCTACTACCACTATCACATAACATCATACCATACTAGCACATAGAACATATCAGATAGTGGCAAACCCAGATAATTATCACAAAGACAATCATCTGACAAACAACTCCTACTAATGGGCCGACATTGTGGCCGTAGACCCACTTCTACTAGAAGGTAACTCGCCTCGAATGCTGAAGCTCGCTGCCCGAACTCCCTAGCTGCTGCCCTGACGGCTTCCCAAGCTAATGATACCAAAACATCACCCAATTAGCAATTGGGTTCCAAACCATGTGTTGGGTTTTGAGCATTCTAACACTCTTATGGTGTACATGCAACCCTATAAACCTTGGATCTATGTTTTCTCTATTATACATGCAAATATTAACTATTCCAAGGTTTCATCCTAACTAGCATATTATGAAGCACCTATACTACAAAGTTCTAGTTAGATGACATACCTTTTGATGTAGCTTGATGTCTTCAAGCTTTAAGAGCTTAGCCCCAATAGTGTGGAAGCCTCAAATGGAATCACAAATCACCAAAACACCTTGGAAGAACTTGAGAGAATATGTACGCACACTAAAATCGACCCACTCTTATTTTCACACACTTTTATCGATTTTGTGAGCCAAGGACCCCTTTATATATTATGGAGGATTAGGGTTACATCCATGTAAACCCTAATACCCATGACCTTTCATTTACATAGGATCCATGGGTTAAAATCTCCATGGACCATCCATGAAAGCTTAGCCCAACCTAAATGAACTTGGCCCATTCCATTATAGAAGAGTCCATATTTAATTAGTTCTTTTTGATCACTTAATTAATTCTAAATAATTCTTGATCAATACTAAGTAAATAATATGATTCCATATTAATATATTAGAACTTATAATAAATTAATATAAATCATAAATATACTATTCTCAAAAGACTATCCATATAAATTGTGTCGGTGAAGTGCAACCCAAATGGACCATGCCGGGTCGGGTCAAGTACATACCAAATATAGTTATGGACTTAGACATTAATCCAACAGTTTCCCACTTGGATAAGTCTAAAACTATTATTGAGTATGACTTCAAAACCTAACTGGGCAATCGTAGCTCTTAAAGAAGCCGCTGTCGAACTCTGACCTTGTCAATGACTTGTCCATTAGATAAGGGATCATATATTCTTCCATTCTAGATATCATATGGACTGAGACATGGATTATAATCATTCTCTCTGTCCATTTGTTGTTTCCGATTTTCGATTTATGATGACTGACTGATTGAACAAATCAAATCAGTCCTGGCTTGGCCAAGCACTCACATGTGTCATCGTTAAATCATCGAGGGGCCCACATATATCGCTTTTATCCCGAAGGTAAAGGAATGGATAAACTTCGACTCTATGGCTTGTTCTACTACTTGTTGAATCATACACAAAGGCACGTTTTATAACATCGAGTTACCAAATGCGTTTTCGTGCAATCAATGTATAACCAACTCATAGTAACAACTCATATCTCTAGTTTTGAAGAATATAATATTATCGTCTCATGATCACTCGTGATAAAATCCATGAAGTGATTCAAATGAGCGCGGGTTGAATCCAATACTCGGAACTTATGAGCACTCATGAGTGTTGTAGCACCACTTTGTCCCCAACTTGGACCTCTACAAACCAACCCATGACAGTCTTGATTCATATCTACTTCCAACATATGACCGACTGTGGATGGTTTGAATAACTTAATCATTCAGGAAGAGCGACTTAGTTATTCTGGAAGTCAAAACATGCAAAGTGAAAACCAAGAATAAATGAATCAATATGGTATCAAACCCTATGAATATAATAAACACTTTTATTT